GAGAGAGAGAGAGAGAGAGAGAGAGAGAGAGAGAGAGAGAGAGAGATTTAAAGATGGCCACTCAGATCCCAAACTATGAAATAAAAAATGAGTTCTTCTTCTTATATATATATATATATATATGAATGATAATAATAGTTCTTATCACCTCCAGCACTGTCTTGTCTCTCAGCTCCTCTCTGTGTTTCCATAGATACTGAGCCAGCACCACAGCACAGGGCCACACATACATCCCATAATGTGGATCCAGAACCTGAGAGCATCACACGAGTCACAACTCTTCACAGGATACTGGCATGCATCTTGCAGTAACCATATATATATATAAAATGTATTTATATGAATGCCTATTAGGGTACTAGATGTATGCCGAATTAAAGAGAGGACTTTAATACATATACTCTGCTCGTTCTTCTATAGAATGCAAACTATTTATATTCACAAATTAAACTTAAATTCACATATTTTTCAGGTGTTAGCGCCCTGATTCTATGACAGACCAAAACAGCACTAACTTTATTACTGATTGATATATATCTGATATATATCATGTTGAAGTCAGTCTCACACAGATGTCTGTAAACAACAGCTGTATCTGAAGTATAGTAATATATATTTTATATAGTATATATACCTCGGGTATGGAGACAGAAAGAGAATCCTGCGTGTTTGTCTTCTTGTCTTTAAACGTGAACACTTTGTATGCTATGCTAGGTGTTTCTGCTCCACTGTGGTCCATTATAATGGTTGAAATTATATCACTAGCAGCTATGCTAACACCGACTTCCGTGTCGACTATAAAGAAAGGAAGACGAAGACGCGTTAACAGCCAATCAAAATCACGTAAATGCCTGGCGGGAAGGCTCTTCTTCTTCTTTTAGGTTTATTGGTGGTTGGCAAAGAATTAATTGGTGCATTCCCGCCACCAGCTGGTCTGGAGTGTGAATCAGGATGTCAAGTACTTATCGTTTAGTATGAAAAATACAAAATAAAATACAAAATAAAGAAACAAATAAGAAACAAAACGCAAAACAAAACAACTGGCTCACATTTTCTTAATAATATTAGTTAGTCAAAGATAGAGGCGGGAAGGCTCAATCTATATCCCATCCAATAAACGTTCTGTCTCGCGGGCGCTTTAGCCAATGAGCTTTGCTTTCCGGCAAAAAGGGGCGGGCGCTACACACGTCCATCAGTTGCCTAAGCATTGTTGTTGCATGCTAGACAGCTAGCTACCTTCTCTTGCTAGGAATTTATCAATGTGTGTCGACCGGGTCATCACATTAGTTGGTAAAGATCCAACAAGGACCTGTGTTTGACTCATTAACCGACGTGTGGGTCTAATAAACAAGGAGAGACTGTCAGAACAGTGCAGTTAGCCGGCTTGTTGAATGTGTTTCTACAGTTAGCAGTTGACTCGATATCTAGCTAGCTTATATCTTTATACTTAACATAACAGAGGAGAAATGAACCATAAAAGTAAGAAGAGGATTAAAGAGGCGAAACGGAGCGCCAGACCCGAACTGAAGGACTCGCTAGACTGGATAAAACACGACTATCACGAGTCTTTCGACGTGTCGCACCGCAGCGTGAAGGTAAAACTTGTCAATGTTAGCATAGCAGAGCTAAAGCTAACATGCGCTAGCCTGCCGCAGCTAACAGCCGGAGTGCAGCTAGTCACGTAGACACCGACACGTCACGTGACATTATCACGTGTGTCTCTTTGTCTCTGTCTGTCTGTCTCTCTCTCTTTGTCGCTCCCTCTTTGTCTCTTTCTGTCTGTCTCGTTGTATCTGGCTCTGTTTGTCTCTGACGCTCTCTCTCTCTCTCTCTCTCTCTCTCTCTCTTTCTCTTTGTCTCTTAATCTTTTTTAAGTTTAAATTTAAAATGGGAAAGTAGTAAAAAGTACACTGTTGAAGGCAAGGCTCTAGATTAAAACGCTGATATAAAACAATGCATGATTTTTAATATACTGTAAATGCAGTGAGATCAAACATTGTGGTTTTGATGAGTGTCAATGGGACCAGCTGTCAGTGGTTTGTCAGATATCTTCTACTTTCAGCAGAGACAGAACTCTAACTACACGCACAGATGTTCTGAAGCTACGACTCCCATTTTCTAACCAAAAAAAGATGGAAGCTGGACATGTTGTGGCTCATATATTAAGTGTCTTATAGGAGAGACTATGTTATCCAGATGGACAGAAGAGTGTCTGATTCTGGACCCGTTTATGTGCTGTGGTTTCAGGATAACGTAGAGCG